CCCCAAAACCCCAAAACCCCAAAACCCCAAAACCCCACAGAAATATATGAATATTCAGGTGGATCATTGGGAAATAAAATTAATATACGAGTGAAATTTATAATAGTAAAGTTGTAGTAATGTTCAATAGAAAGTTTTTTCTTTCTTTGTGCAATTGTTCAAGGCCATCAATTAGCAACGAACAAGATATTGTACCGTTTTATCATGAAAAAGTAAGTGTCTAATTAAATCACTTGAATGACTTCTTAATGTAGAATGATTCCCTGGTGGATTTCCCTCTGTCAACTTACATTCAAGAGACAGATGATGGGTGCAATAAAATAACTCCAGCTAAATAAAACTAATCCTACTTGAGAATCGGCAGTAGTGAGTATATAATTAAACGAAAGACTCCTAACCAAATGTTCTAAGAGAAAATTCGGTTGCTTGACAGCTTAATCCCAATCAAGGAGGAATAAGACATGGAGGACAGAATGTCGACTCACAGAAGTAAGTTGATTGATTCAATTGATATATCGAAATTATTTGGCTGCTTATCCTAGTCATCAGAATATCCCAATTATTCTAGATAAAAACATTTATTCAGATTAAAATGTAGAGCATATTTAAGAACGCTTGAATTCAAGCCTTAGTAGTATTAATAGTAAAAAATCTCTTAATAAATTGAGGATTGAAGTAGATGATAATCTATTGTGTGACAGTCCTCTCATAGAGGATCTTGATGAGGAAAATTACTTGCTAGGGCAGAGTAATCCATCTTCAAAGTTGCTAGAGCACTGCAGGTTATTGGATACAAGCTCACCCGTGACTTCAACAAATCAAAATCTGACAGAGGAATTATTGAACATTGATAAATATGATATTCCTGAATAGGATTTGTACTTGATTGAGGATGAAGAAATAAACGAAAATGGTAAAATATAAATGAAAATTGATCAAATTCTATAGAGATAATCGATTAAATTTTGGGGAATTTAAATGAAGATTAAACATTAACTCTAGAGGGAATGAAATACTTAATAAAGGTTGCTAATTCAATCAATGGAATAAGAAGATTGAAATATGTATTTAGAAAATGTACCAAATTATAATAAATTTCATCATGTTTATAGAAAGAAGAATGCATTTTGCATTGAGCCAATATAAAATAATCTATCTTTATTTCAGGAGACTTTTGGAAAACTAATTCGACTAAAACATTAAGGAACTCTTGTCAAATATTGCATAAGTTAATGTATCTGTGTATTAAGAATCGCTCTTCGTTCATCAGAAAAATTTAAGTGATAGGGACATGGATATCGGATTATTTGAAAACTATGAAATCCCCGAATGGCTAAATGGTCAATTAGCAGATGAAATCAACACTGAACTCGAGGAGTATATTTTGGATATGTGGAGTAAAAATGCTAGAGAACTAAACTAACTTAGCATGATGACTGACTAGCTATTATTAATGATTAGATGTTTGGCTGAGGACATGATTTACGATAAGTACTGTATTGAGATAGAATAAGTGTATAAGTATTTGCAATATTACAACCCCAATGATGAGGATAATCTTTTGGGAGTGAATTATCAATAGTCTGATGAGAGGAGATTGTTAAGTATTAAGAAATAGAGTGGAAGCAATAACAAAGCTATGCTATCTATATTTACTATTGAGGAGACTGAAGAGCAAAATGACTCTTTCTAAAGCTAAAATCCTACTTATTGATTCCCTTGATCTATATGTTAGGAAAATCAATCGTTCTTCATATTTTGATGAATGAAACATTATGACTTGTAAGTACCCTATGATAAAAGTATTTATATTATTCTTTAAAATTGATAAGCATTAGTCAATTGGGGTTTTGGGGTTTTGGGGTTTTGGGG